TATCTCCTCATGCTTAGACTGCTGCAATAGCTGCTGGTGGGTCTGCCTGTCTCAAATCTCTCCCCTCCCCAGTCCACCCTCCATTCCTTTACTAATGTGATTTTCCTAAAGCCCAGGTCTAACCATGTCACTCCCCTACTCAGTGAAGTCACCTCCAGGATCAAATATAAAATCCTGTTTGGCATTCAGAGTCCTTCACAAACTAGCCTTACCCTACCTTTCCAGTCTTCTCACACCTTACTTCCTGCCATATATTCTTCAATCCAGTGACACTGGCCTCTTTGCTGGTCTTCAAACAAGACATTTCTTGGCATTTCCATTGGTTTTCAAGTCACAGCTAAAATCTCATCTTCTACAGGCAGCCCTTCCCAATCCGTCTTAATTCTAGTGCAGGGGAGGGGAATCTGGGCTGCACTTGAAGACGTGTTGTGGTCTGAGAGATTCAGAGACCCCTCAAAGACCAGAGTACAGGACAGGGTCTGGAACGAATTCTCAGATTCAAGCATTCTTTAAGTCAAGGTGGCAAAGATTTTTTGTTACGCTATACAGAGGGCAAGGATTTTCAAGGAACCTGCCATGGTGGACAGAGCTCCTTAGGGACCTTGCAACCCAACAGAAATGATGCTAAAGCTTATACAGGAAAAGTAGTGGATTATGTGCGAAGTATCCTAATTTGGTGATAATATACAACCCTGGTCACAGGTGTCATTCACTACTGGAAACCTTGGAGGGGGGGGGTTTCCTAAGGAGTGTGTTTTTGGTCTGTTATGTCTGAAACAAGATAGCTTTGGGAGTTGATGTCTATAGTTTGACCTCTGGATTGTATATGGTTAACTGTAGGCATCAGTACTTGATAGTTTTGCTGGTACAACATAGTCCTGTTCATACAAGGGAAGTTTACAGAGGTCAGTTTGTTCTTGTAACAGGGAGAGATAGTTTGCCTCATTGGGCCCACTCATGAGTTATTGCCAGAGGTAGGGTCCTTGGGCTGGGGGGAAACTGTCAGGGATAGTGTTTCTGAGGCCAGGGAGAAATACGATCTTGGAAGTGGGGTCTGAGTACAAGCATCCACGCACCCCATCAAACCTAGAGGGCCATATGTGGCCTTGGGGCAACAGGTTCCCCACCCCGTCCTTGTGCTTTCCCCTGTTGATTGTTTCCTATTTATCCTCTATGTAGCTTGTTTGTACATAGCCCATGTTGTCTTCTCTATTAGACTGTGACCTCCTGGAGGGTGGGGCTGTTTTTTGCCTTTCTTTGTGGAGCCCCAGTCCCAAAGGCCATTGGCTTGGGATTCTCTCCTCACTGGTGGAGATGAATGCCCTGTTCTCCATGAGGGACATGGTGGTGTTGGCCAGAATGAGAGTGTCTCCAGGCTCCTTCAGGACTCTACAAGCACCAAGTTGCTTCAGGTGTTTCTGGCTTCTAGTTGTTTTTTTTTTTTTTTCTAGATAAGATAAGTAGGTTTATTATGAGTGAAAGGAGAGGAAATGAGAGTTAAAGGTGAAGTGTAAGGATAGGAAGTCATATTTAAACTGTGAGATTTAAAAGTTCCAATTTTTGTCAATAACCTGTGTTTCTTGTGCTTCAACTCCATTTCTGCATATCTGATTCATCCACAGAATCTTTGTTACTGACAGTTTTGATTTCTTGGTTCCTTCCATTTCTCCATTTTAATCAATTATAATGGACATTGGCTCTGTCTGACTCTGCCATCTGCCTCAAGTCTTTATTTGGTTGTTTTAAGCATTCAGGCTTTGCCAGAATCTTGGAGAGTTCTCTGCTAGAGTGATCAGAATGATCATCGTCCCATACCAAATGTCCACCTATGGAAAAACAACAAAGTCCCCCAAGCAAAGAGAATGAGCATAATCCAACACCAGGAGCCAGTCCATGGCCTCATTTTCAGGTTCTCAACTCTTTCCCTTTACATCTAGAACTCAAAGAGCTGCAGACAACATGGTGACTTGGACACTAGCACAAAGGTGGGTTGGTTGCCCTTTCTTTTTTTTTTTATTTCAGCACATGATGCTTCAAACAAATTAGTATTAGTTGGGAGTCCTGGGGCAATTTCTTTCAGAAGTTCTTCTGGTGTTGTGAGTAGGAAGCTTTCCATTTCGAGTCCTTGGATTTTACATTCTCAGCAGGTCATAGTCTCTGCTACTTTCAGAATAAACTCTACAAAAGTACAGACTGGTGAGGCAGGGGACATTGAGATTTAGGGATGCTGGGACCCTGAAATATCGACAGCAAGAGACACGGATCCTGCCTGAATGAATTTGACCCAAGCCTTCTTTCAGCCAAAGACAAGGTTTATTAGAATATCCATTGTGGGTAGGTGAGATTTTAAGAACCCGCCATATTGGCCAGACTCCTAAGGAATCTAGCATTTGTATCACTAATGCAAGTGGGCCAGATTTTAAGAATCTGAGCCTGGCTTCTAGTTTCAAGAGGGAAGATGGAAGAAGTCAATCTTTTTTCAGGTTGCTAAAGAAAAGACTTTAGCAAAGACATGAGAGGAGATTGCAGTCTCCATCACGTCCCTATCCCCAGCTTGTTACACTACAGACTTTGGGCAACTTCCCCTTGGGTGAGATCTGGGACTCTCTCTTGTGAGAGTTCCTCTCTCTATTACCTGGCTTCCAATGGGAGAGCTCCTTTATTCTGTATTGTCTGGTATATATTCTTCTATGTATACTTTGTCTTATTTCTGTTTTGCTATCCAATTTGGATAAATGTGTTTTCTTAGCTAAGTGCTAAGTATACTCATTGTGGAACTGATGTTTTGTGGGAAAGGGATCAAACTTTGGATATAAAGCTCAGGGTACTACCTCCCACCCAGATACAGTAATCATTAGTTGTATTGAACCTGATCACATATCCCTTAGACTGAAAATATGTAAGAGAGCAGATAGATGTAATTCGAGCCTGGTACTCTCTCTTTCTGAGGGAAGCAGAGTGCCCTCTGGCCACATTTAGATAGGGTTTAGATATGGATTAGGGGGAAGAGGACCTTTTGATCTCCCAGAGAACACTTAAGGAGAATAGTCAGGGAAGGAATTGAATAATGACTAGTATTCTTTAATGTTAACTCCAAATTGTATTTTAACACATAACCTCTTTGTTATTTTTGTTGTTGTTCAGTCGTGCCCTACTGTTCATGACCCCATTTTGGGTTTTCTTTTTTTTTTATTTAATTTATTTTGAATTATCAACAATCACTTCTGTAAGCTTTTGAGTTTTAAATTTTTCTCCCCCTTCCTCCCCACCTCCCTCTCCAAGATGGCATGCAATCTGATATAGGCCATACATATACATTCCTATTAAACATATTTTCACATTAGTGATGTTGTGAGTAAGAGGAGGAACCACCAGAAAGAGGAAACAAAACACAACAGAAGAAAAAAAAATAGCAAATAGTATGCTTCGATCTGCATTCAAACTCCATAGCTCTTTCTCTGGATGTGGATAGCATTTTCCATCATGAGGCCTTCGGAGATGTCTTAGATCCTTGTATTGCTGAGAAGGGTTAAGTCTATCAATATTAGTCATTGCACATTGTGGTTGTTACTGTGTACAACATTCTCCTAGTTCTGCTCACTTCATTCAGCATCAGACCATACAAGTCTTTCCAGGTTTTTCTGAGGTCAGCCTGTTCGTCATTTCTTATTACACAATAGTATTCCATTACATTCATATACTACAACTTGTTCAGCCATTCCTCAATTGATGGGCATCCTCTCAATTTCCAATTCTTTGCCACCACAAAAAGAGCTGCTATAGATAATTTTGTACATGTGGGTCCTTTTCCCATTTGTATGATCTCTATGGTATATAGCCCTAGGAGCATTTTGGGTTTTCTTCACAAAAATACTGGAGTGGTTTGCCATTTCCTTTTCTAGCTCATTTTACAGAGGAGGAAACTGAGTCAAATAGCTAGTACATGTCTGAGGCCAGATTTGAACTCAGAAAGATGAGTCTTCCTGACTCTAGGCCCAGCACTCTCTCCACTAACTGACCCACACTAGATAAATGCTTGCAATTAAGTGTGAAATGATGAGGAGAGTTGGTCTACCTGACCGCAAAGTTCCCTTCTGGTTCTAGATTCTCTGACATTCTAAATTCCTGTCTCTGCTTTCCTTCTGAAAAATGGAAGGGAGGTTAAAGGGGAGAAGGGAGGCTTGATCATTGTATTATAGATGTGCTTTTGTTTAAAGAAAAATGCAATACTATCTTTTGGTTTTACATCACCTTTACATCACAGTAGCTGTGTGACCCTGGGCAAGTTACTTAACCCTGTCTGCCTCAGTTTCCTCATTGGTAAAATGAGCTGGAGAAGGAAATGGCAAACCACTCCAGTATCTTTGCCAAAAAAAAAACCTCAAATGGGGTCACCAAGAGCCAGACAGGAAGGGGCAGCTAGATGGCACAGGGAATAGAGGCCTGGTCCTGATTTATCTTCCTGAGTCCAAATCTGGCCTCAGACACTTACTAGCTGTGTGACCCTGGGCAAGTCATTAACTCTGTTTGCCTCAGTTTCCTCATCTGTAAAATGAGCTGGAGAAGGAAAAGGCAAACCACTGTAGTATCTTTGCCAAGAAAACCCTAAATGGGGTCACAAAGAGCCAAACATGACTGAAAGGACCGAGCCAACAACAACGTTGGGTGGGTGCGTAAAGGACAGTGCCCCAAGCCACAACTCTAGCAAATAGCAGAACTAGGATTCAAACTCGGGTCCTCAAACTCCAGAGCCAGACCAAATCACAGGGCCCTGACCAACCGCCACAGGGCCAGGCCTTGGCACAGCCTGGAGCGGGAGCCGGGCCTCTGGTGCTCACGAAGGGCTGTTTCCAGGAGCCTGGCCTTGCCACTCTTAGAGGGCTGAGACAGGAGAGCCGCCAGCCAGGTGGGAGCCTTCCTCCCCTAGGCCACGCCCCTGAGCACCGAGCGAGGCTGCTGGGGATTGCCGGGCCTCGAGCAGCTCTTGGACTACAATTCCCACAATGCAATCCGAGGGAAGGTTGGGCCGAGTCGCTGGAAACTGACCTTTGGGAGGAGAAGTGGTTTTGCACTGTTTTCCTGGCTGGGCTGGAGATGAACAGGATGGTCCAAGCTGCGGCAGTTCCAGAGGTGGCCAGAGGTCAGCAGTTAGGCAGCCACCATGGTCAGGGGCTGGGGGAGTGAGCTCTGCTGGGGCCTGGCATCCCTCGATCAATAGGTGGGCCCTGTCCGGGCCCCTCCGGCTTCCGGGGAATCTGGCTAAGGGCAGTGCTTTACCTGCCCGCCCCCTTCTTGGAGCAGAAGCCAGGTGGGTGTGCCCGCCCCTGTTTGTGGGCTCTGGGAGGGAGGAGGGACGGGCAGGGGCTGCAGCTGGACTCGCCCTCCACTGACTCCATGGGCCTGTAGGGCACTTCTGGGCGGGGGAGGGGATGAGGCGCACACCTGCCTTGCCAGGTGGGGGCTTCCGGGCCCTCCCCAAGGTGAACAGCTCACCCAAACTGAGGCTCCCAAGATCAGTCTTTGGCCCGGCTTAGCACTGGGGCATTCTGGCTTCTCACAAAGGTGAGAATCATAGGATCTGGAACTGAAAGGGACTTGAGAGGTCATTTCCAGACCAACCCCCTCATTTTATAGATGCGGAAATTAAGGTTTATAAGAGGAAATGACTTGCTCAAGGTCACACACGTAACAAGTAGGAGAGTGAACGTCTGAGCCCAGGTAATTCAAACTATATGCTGTTTTCTTTGTGGAGAAGGAAAGGGCAAACCACTCCAGTATCTCTGCCAAGAAAACCTCATATCCAGTGCAGTTTCCACCAGTGCCAGGCATGGCATTCCCCCTCCCCCTCCTCCCAACCACAGCCCCCTTAAAAGAATAGGGGAGAAGCTGGAGCAGGGCAAGAGGGGGGAAGCTCCTGGGAGCCCTGGGCCGTAGGGGCTACGCTGACTCCCTCAGGAATACCAGAGTGACCTCGAATCCATTCAGAAAAGCCAGCTCCCTTTGTCAATGAAGGGAGTGGTCTGTCCTCCCAGAGGAGGCAGGGCTGAGCAGGCATGCTGGTAACAGATTTCCTGCATCCCAGCCCAAGGCCTCACCTGAGCCCCTGGAGGCCACCCTGCCCTGCTCCACCTTTCTTGTACATATTTACCCTCCAGCTGCGCCCCAGCCAAGCCACCTTTCTTGTTAGTCTGGGATTGGCCTCTTCTCCCATTCCTCAGGAAGGATTACTTTCCTCTTGTACAGAATGAGGTAGCTGGACTAGATTACTTCTGGGTTTGCTTCTAATTCTGAAAGTCGATGTTTCATAGGAGAAGGCCTTATGGGAAGCCAGCACTGAGGCCCCATATTATCTTTTGTGTGAGTTCCTACACTGTAACACCCTTTTTAACCAAAAAAGATGTATTTTGGAAACTTTGTTGCCAGAGGTAGAAAGAACATAGGGAAGGGTACATGCTGAACTGTGAGGATACTCCTTTGTGCCCTGGCAGGAAACTGCTTCCCTCTCTTTCAAGAATGGGTTTGATTAAATGACATTCAAGGTCCCTCCTAAATCAGGGATTTGGGGAGTCTTGGAGTTGAGCCCCAAAGCCAGAAGGGGTACGTGTGTAGGGGTGTGGAAGAGCTGGGGAGAGAGTGTCTCTATACCATTTTAACCAGGCTAGAAACATTTCCCTAAAGCGACTAGAGAAAAATCAACCTATTTTGAAGAGACCAGCCAAGTAACCTATTGATTAGCATGCGGGGTGGGGAAGGAAGGAGAAAATGGGGGGAAGGGGTGGTACAAGAAAGCACTGAGCTCTCCCAGAAGAGAATTAGCTTTGAAGCCATCTGCCCACCCCCTGAGCCATCTGGCTGGGCCTAGTGAGAACTCCAACCCTTGACCCTCAGAAGGGCTTTACCCTTAGGGAATTTATTTCTTTGTTGTGGCTGGGACTGGATCTCTCTCTCTCTCTCTCTCTCTCTCTCTCTCTCTCTCTCTCTCTCTCACACACTGTTTATCTATGTAGAAGTGTATTTATTCTAGGAAAGAGCCTGTTCCTGGCCTCTCTGCTTAGAAGAGAGCTTGGTCAACAATTCACTTCCACTCAACAAATAAATGTACAGTGGAAATGGTCCCTATCCTCAACGGGCTTGCTTTCTACTGCCGCTTCAGAGAATCAATGACTGTGGCTGGATCATAGAGTGTGTTGGAAGTAGTACAAGATGGATGGCAGTACATTGCAAAGGGAGAAGGCTTCTTGGAGGAGATAGCATTTGAACTAGGTCTTTTTTTTAAGTTTATCTTATTATATATATGTCTTTTGATTTTACATCTCATTTATTTTTCAATTATATCCTTCCTTACGATGCAAGAATAGGATGGGGAAGAAGATTTGGTGGCTTTTTACCATGCTCAGTGTGCCATCTCTTGTAATAAATATTTTTTAAAATTAATTTATTTTGATTTATCAACAATCACTTCCATATGCTTTTGAGTTTAAAATTTTTCTCCCCCTCCCTCCCCACCACCCTCCCCAAGACAGTGCAAAATCTGATACAGGCTATACATATACATTCCTATTAAACATATTTTCACATTAGTGATGTTGTAAATAAGAATTAGAACCAATTGGAGGAACCACCAGAAAGGGGAAACAAAACTCAACAGAAGGGAAAAAAGTAGCAAAAATTATGCTTTGATCTGCATTCAAACTCCATAGATCTTTCTCTGGATGTGGATGTCATTTTCCATCATGAGGCCTTTGGAGATGTCTTAGATCCTTATATTGCTGGGAAGGGTTAAGTTTATCAGTATCAGTCATCGCACAACATGGCTGTTATTGTATACAACTTTCTTCTGGTTCTGCTCACTTCACTCAGCATCAGACCATACAAGTCTTTCCAGGTTTTTCTGAAGTCAGCCTGTTTATCATTTCTTATAGCACAATAGTATTCCATGTAATGAATATTTTTAAAGAATTAAGGAGATAACCCCCAATATGTTGAGTATGATTGATAGCCTGTGTAATATTCCAGGCCCATGGTCACCATGCCTTCGATGAAGAGAAAATAGTTTGAAGCGGATCTTGAAGGACCAGTAGTTTCAACAAACAGAGATAGAGTGAGGATGTACATTCCAAGAACAACGAAAGAGAAGGAAGCATCTGATGGGCTGTGTTGGTAGGATTTTCTAGGCAAGTCATCACCAGTAGCCCTGTAAGGGGGAAAGATTTGCTCTTAGGCTCCCTGATGCACCAGGTATCCTCCTAGCCTATGGCATTCTAGAAAGGAGATGGGCAGCTCCTTCATGCAATCAGGTTTTTACAAGTGGGTTAGTAACAAGTAGATTTAGTACTGGGTATCATTTCCTCTACATTGTCAAATAAGACTTTTCATATTAATTCCTCCCTTTCTTGAACAATAAACAATGAACAATCTAGAAAAGGCAAAACACTCTAGTGTCTTTGCCAAGAAAACCACACACAGGCGGTCACAAAGAGTTGGATGTGGCTGAAAAACCACTAAACAACAACTCTTGAACAAAGCTCATTGTGCACGAGTATTTTATTTTATCAATGATTAGCTGTAGATTATCTGCTCTAGTGGAGGGAAATAGAGGCATGGAGTAGACAGATGTACATTTGGGGGGTGAAAATCTATGTATGTAAGCTGAGAGGGCCGTTAGAACACAGAATATCAAAGCTAGAAGGCCTTTAGAACCTAAATTATCAGAGTTTAAGAGGGTCCTTAGAACCCAAATTATCAGAGCTTAAGAAGGCCCTTAGAACATAGCACATAGAACGTCAGAACTGGAAGGGACCTTAGAGTATAGAATCTCAGGGCTAGAGTTTGCCTTACAACATAAAATGTCAGAGCTTGGAGGAACTTTAGAACATAGAAGGTCAGAGATGGGACAGTCCTTGGAGATCAGATCCAGTCACCTCGTTTTATCAATGAGGACACTGAGACCCTGAGAAGGGATGGATCATACAGTGAGTAGGTGGATGGAAGGGCTTAGGCTGGAGCCCAGATCTCCTGACTTTAAGTCCAGGCCTCATTCAACCACGCAACAGAATATCATCTCAACAGCTCCAAATAAACTGTGTCCCAGCACAGTCCTCTGATGGTTCTTTCTCTCGTTGGTTCCTGGGAACAGGTTAACAGGGATATGGCTGCCGATGTACATAAGAAGAAAAGCTGGGAAACCACCAATGGTACCTTGGTCCCCTCCGATGGGCAGAGCTCAGAGCGGTCAGAGAGCCCAACTCCAGGACTGGCCCAGGGAACAGAACCAGGTAAAGCAGTTGCAGGGGTGGCCTGTAGGCAGATGGCGACGGCACCCTGGGACATCCTAATTCAAACCAGTTCCTCCTATGACTTTTCAGCTCTGTGCAGGGGATAGAGCCTTGAAATAATCATAGCTTTTTATAATATTAGCTAATGTTTATATTGTACATTTTAAAAAAAAGTTTTCCCTCCTTTGGTCTTTATAACTGCTCAGCGAGGGAGGTAATGTGAGTATGATTATCTCCACCCTGTAGGTGAAGAAACAGAGGTTCAAAGATGTGAATCATTTGGCCAGCGTCCCCCAGCTAGTAAGGGACAGATCTGGGATCCAAACTCAGGTCTTCTGCCCCCAAGGTCCATGGCCATTTGCATTGAATTATGATGTTTCTCATCCTGAGTGGAAAGGAAGGACTCAGAGGCAGACCTCATCAGCTTCATTCTCCCAGCTCTTCCTTTGCTATCATCACAGCACAGAAGCAGCCTCAGGGTCACCAGGTAACCTCTAGACTTGCCTAGATGGAGCAGGCATTCTGTGTCAGACTTTGGACCTGAAGAAACCCAGGGTTCCAACCCTGGGGCATGCAAATGGTTAATGCCAGCAGCAGGATGGCTTCTCTTCCTGTGGGGGAAGATTTCCTGTAGACCTTAGGGGACCCAGGCATGCCCTACCTCCTCCACTGAGATAACAGACTGATCAGGCATGCAGACGGGGACTTCCCCAGACAGGACTTTGCGGGGGAAGGGGCATCATGACAATGGAATGGAATAGACTATCCTCTTCTTCATCTCCTCCTTTGAGAGAGCAAAAAGAACCAGGCACAGTGGTTTGGGGCAGGTGTCTTGAGTTCATAAAGGGACAGAGAATAGCCATTCCTCTTTTTTTGTGTGTGTGAGGCAATCAGGGTTAAGTGACTTGTCCAGGGTCACACAGCTATTAAGTGTCAAGTGTCTGAGGCCAGATTTGAGCTCAGGTCCTCCTGACTCCAAGGCTGGAGCTTTATCTACTACGCCACCTAGCTGCCCTTCACTCCTCTCTTGACATAAGGAAAATCACCTGAATTTTTAAAAATTTCACTGCACAAGTACAGGATAGGGGAGGCAGAGCTAAACAAAGTTTCACATGAAAAAGATCTGATGGTTTTAGTGGACTGCAAGCTCAGTATAAGTCAGCAGCTGACAAGATAGCCAAAAAACGAATGCAGCCTTAAGCAGCATTAATAATAATAATAATAATAATAATAATAATAATAGCTAGCATTTAGATAGGCCCTTCTATATGCCAAGCGCTTTACAAATATTTCATTTGACTCTCGAAACAACCCTGTTGTTGTGATATTTATTATTCCCATTTTACAGGTGAGGATACTGAGGCAAACAGAGGTTCAGTGACTTGCCTACCATCACTCAGTTAGCAAATATCTGGGGTCGGATTTGAACTCAAGGTCTTCTTGACTCCAGACCCAGTGTTCTATTCCCAGTCCCACCTTGCTGCCTCAACATAGAACATTAACCTAGAGGCAGAGGGTCTAAAACAGGGAAGTTTTAGGGTGTACCCATCCTCTGCCTTGGTTAGAGCACATCAGTTCAGTTTTAGGAAGGATGCTGACAAAGTAAGGGAATTCCAGGATGACGAGGCAACTGAAAATGAAATTGTACGTGACTTGGCTGAAGAACCTGCAGGAACCCTTAGCCTAGACTAGAGGAAATGATCCAGGGGAGGCTATGCCAGCTGTCTTAGATTATCTGAAGGGCTGTCATCTACAAGCTGCTTCCCCCCCCCCCCCCCCCCCCCGCCCCGTGAGGCAATCAGGATTAAGTGACTGGCCCAAGGTCACACAGCTAGTGAGTGTAATGTGTCGGAGGCCAGATTTGAACTTAGTTCCTCCTGATTCCAAGGCTGGAGCTCTATGCATAGTGCCACCTAGTTGCCCCTACAAGCTGCTTTTGTGTCCTCCCTGAGAAGCAATGGGTAGAAGTTGTAGACAAACCAATTCGACTTGGTCTGTGGAAAACTTCCTCACCATGAGAGCTATTTCAAAGAGGAATTCACCGTGTTGGGAGGCAGTAAGCACCTCGGCTCACCCCCTCAGGTTTTCACATAAAAGCTGGATGGCCACTTTTGGAGGCAATTGTGGAGGGATTCTTACTCATTCACTAAACTAGATGTCCTCCAAAGTCCCTTCTAGATTTGAGATTCTGTGACCAGGTGAAGTCCTTTTCCATCCTTCCTCGTATCACAGTCTCACCACACGTGCACTGGGGGTGGCAGTATATTTTTAGGATGAGGAAGTGAGTTCTGGACCCCACTAATGCATCAGCTGCCAGAGAAAACATAGATAAGATAAATTCAGCCCCAAGTCCTATGTCTTAAGGCCAGCCGTCTCCCTTGCCATCCCCTGAGGCCTGTCAGAAATCATCCTTAATTCTACCTACCCCTTGAGGATGGGGACAGGGGCCTGACAGAGAATAAACAGTGAATGTTGAGAAGAAATGTGTGAAGTGCTGGTCAGAGTCACCTCTCAGTCAGAGACTCTCAGTGTCTCCGTCTCCACACTGATGGAGAATAGCTACACAGCTGATGTCAAAGCGTGGGTAATCAGAGTTATACCCCAGAGTCATGGGATGATAAACTTAGAGCTGGAGGGTCCCTTAGAGATTATTTGGTTCAGCCCTCTCATTTTACAGCTGAGAAAACTGAGGCGTGTTCAAGGGCACACAGCTAGTAAATAGCAGAGTTGAAACTCAAACCTAGGTCTTGGGGCTCTTTCCACTATATCGTGGTACCTCTGCAAAAGGAATTTCTGACTGGCTTAGGAAAGCACCATAGATAGGACTGAATGTTGGTTTGGTTGTGGGTTTGTTTGGCAGGGGAAGCACAAAATATCTCCTTTCCTGTTCTCTTTTTTGGCCATCATCCCCTGAGATTCCCTATGCATAGGCTGATTAATGAGGGGGTGAAAAGCTGCACAGAAGCAACTGTCTGATGAGGGCATCAGTCCCGTGATTGTGGTTAAGCCACAATGTAGATAATGAAGAGTTGGCTGAATGAGGATATGTCCCTCTCCTGAGAGTCTGGCTTTTTGGTTGGCAGGGGCCGGCCAGGAAGGTGCCATGTTTGTCCATGCCCGTTCTTATGAGGACCTGACAGAGTCTGAGGATGGGGAGGCCACAGGGGGCAGTCCTGAGGAAGGAACCAGTGCCCAGCCTCGGGCCACAGCAACGGACATGCGGCAGATCAGCAAAGACTTCAGTGAGCTGAGCACTCAGCTGACGGGTGTGGCCCGGGACTTGGAAGAGGAGATGCGACCAGAGCCTGAGGACTCTTCCGAGTCCTCAGGATCTGGGGAATGGAAGGCCTCAGAACCCCTGAGGGAGGGAGAGGCCGGGGACGGGGATGAGGAGGATGCAGCCGAGACGTGGCGGCTGCACCAGAAGCATATCTTTGTGCTAAGTGAGGCAGGGAAGCCTGTTTACTCCCGTTATGGCTCAGAGGAGGCGCTGTCCAGCACGATGGGGGTCATGGTGGCTCTGGTGTCCTTCCTGGAGGCTGACAAGAATGCCATTCGCTCCATCCATGCAGGTAAGGCCTGCCTAGGGAAGGGCATGAGACTCTCAGTGGCTTGGGGAGAGCCCTATGGAAGAGGGAGTAGCAGAGGTGGCCTCTCGCAGTCCCGTTGGAGATCCCTGGCCAACCCCCTGGAGGCTGTAATGGGAAGCTTCTTCCTTGCATTTCTCCCTGGTTCCCCTCTGGACACGTTCAGTTTATATCATTCATCAGATTAGCCCTGTGCTCACAGGTCTGGGAAGGGGGCTGTTCTTGTGGACCCCATCTGACGGGGAATATGTAACCTTGTCTTCAGGAATCCCTCAAATTAATGGATAGACACAACCCACCCTCTACAGGTTTCCCTAGTCTGCCAGGAAAGAGATGACCCCTTCTCCTGACACATTCTTTATCTAAAGGGTAGACATGGTCCCTGCCTTCAGGGAGTCCCCGGTCTGAGTGGGAAACACAGGACCTAGCCTTAGGAAGTCCCTAATCTGAGGTGAGACATATGATCCTGGTCCCCAGTCAGTAGCTGGTCTTAGGGGGAGACAACCTCTGCCCTCAGGGTGCCTCATTTTGGGAAGAGACATAGATCCTACCCTCAGGGAGCTCCCAGGTCACGTACACACAAATGCTTTGAGACCCATAAATAAACTGAGCAAATAATGAAGAGACACAGAGTTGAGGAGTGAGGTGAGGGGGTGGGGGTGGGACAGTGGGGATTAATCAGGGAATGCTTCTTAGAAAAGATGAGGGACCATGGACTGCAAAGAGCAGTGGGAAGGCATTTAAGGTAGGGGGAAAGTCCCGGGCAGTCACCAGTGCAGGCACTAGTGACCCCATGGCACGTGGTAGGAAGAAGATAAGCCTCACTGAAGCTAGAGGCTAGCCCCTGGGAAGTCAGGGATCTCTGAGAGCCTTGAAGGTTAGATTGAGAAGCCTTTTACACCAATACAACCAACATTTATTAAATATCACCTGAATGCTGAGTTCTGTGCTCAGGGCTTGGGTGGATACAAAATGAAATCAGATGTTGTCTTTGCCCTCAAGGAGCTCACAGTCCAGTAGAAAGGTAAGAAAGAAACAGATTAATTTTCATAAACAATCGCACGTGGCAAGCATATCAGTGGGCAAGCATATCAAAAAGACCAGTGACCAAGAGGGGGATCAGGAATGACTTCCTGGAGGAGGTGGTTTTTGAATTGGGCTTTAACAGGTGGGTAGAAATTCAACAGGCAAAGATGAGAAGAGGGGATTTTTCCATCTGGGGGCTACAATGGACCCTTGAGCAGAAGAGTGACCTCCCTCTCATCTGGCTGTTTTTTCTCCTCCTTGTCCCTCTGCCAGATGGCTATAAGGTGGTGTTTGTCCGCCGGAGCCCCCTGGTGCTGGTGGCTGTGGCCCGCACACGCCAGTCAGAGCAGGAAATAGCTCAGGAGCTGTTATACATCTATTACCAGATCCTCAGTCTGCTCACCTGGACCCAACTCAATCACATCTTCCAGCAAAAGCAAAATTATGACCTGCGTCGCCTGCTCTCGGGTTCTGAGCGCATCACTGACAACCTCCTGCAGCTCATGGCCCGGGACCCCAGCTTCCTGATGGGGGCTGCCCGCTGCCTGCCCCTGGCAGCTGGCGTGCGGGATGCTGTGAGCACCAGCCTGCAGCAGGCCCGGGCCAAGAGCCTCGTCTTTTCCATCTTGCTATCCCGGAATCAGCTGGTGTCTCTGGTGCGGAAGAAGGACCAGTTCCTTCACCCCATCGACCTCCACCTTCTCTTTAACCTCATCAGCTCCTCATCCTCCTTTCGAGAGGGAGAGGCCTGGACACCCATCTGCCTCCCCAAATTCAACTCAGGGGGCTTCTTCCATGTGCACATCTCCTACCTGGAGCCAGACACGGACCTGTGCCTGCTCCTGGTCTCCACTGACCGAGAGGACTTCTTCACGGTCTCAGACTGCCGCCGCCGTTTCCAGGAGCGGTTGAAAAAGCGTGGGGCCCATCACATGCTGAGGGAAGCACTACGCACCCCCTTCTACAGTGTGGCCCAAGTGGGCATCCCAGACCTTCGCCACTTCATCTACAAGTCCAAGAGCTCAGGGCTTTTCACCAGGTGAGAGGTGCCCCTCCCCATCAGATACTGCCAGACCATTGAAGGCATAGTATGGACGGACTTGGTCACAGACCAGTGCTTGTGCCTTGGGATTACCAACAGGACAAGGTATTCATTGGGCTCTGAGATTGAGGGAAAGGGTATAAGGGAAGGCAGGATGAGGTAAGCCAAAAACTAAAGCATTCAGGCCTGTTAGAGGCTAAAGCTGAGACAGGACTGAGTCATAAGACAGAACTTCCCAGAGTTACTAGAGTATGTGCCCCCTGGGAGAATAGTGACAAGTCCCATTTCTGTGTAACTTTAAGGTTTACAAAACACTCTTTTAAAAACTTTCTATTAATTTATTTATTTTTAATTTTCAACATTCACTTCCATAAGATTTTGAATTCTAAATTTTCTCCCCCTCTCCAAGACGGCATGCAATCTGATATAGGCTCTACTTATACATTCATATTAAACATATTTTCACATTAGTCATGTTGTAAAGAAGAATTAGAGCCAATGGGAGGAACCACAAGAAAGAAGAAACAAAACTGAACAAAACAAAAAAAAAAGGGAGCAAATAGTATGCTTCTATCTGCATTCAGACTCTAAAGTTCTTTCTCTGGATGTGGATAGCATTTTCCATCATGAGTCTTTTGGAGTTGTCTTATATCCTTATATTGCTGAGAAGAGCTGAGTCTATCAAAGTCAGTCATCGCACAACATGGCTGTTACTATGTACAATGTTGTTCTGGGTCTGCTCGCTTCACTCAGCATCAGTTCATATAAATCTTTCCAGGTTTTTCTGAAGCCTTGCCTGCTCATCATTTCTTATAGCACAATAGTATTCTATTACATTCATGTACCACAACTTGTTCATCCATTCCCCAATTGATGGGTGTCCTCTCAATTTCCAATTCTTGGCCATCACAAAAAGAGCTGCTATAAATATTTTTGTACCTGTGGGTCCTTTCCTCATTTGTATGATCTCTTTGGGATACAGCCCTAGAAGTGCTATTGCTGGGTCAAAGGGTATGCACATTTTTATAGCCCTTTGGGCATAGTTCCAAATTGTTTTCCAGAATGGTTGGATCAGTTCACAACTTCACCAACAATGCATTAGTGTTCCAGTTTTCCCACATCTTCTCCAGCATTTATCATTTTCCTGTTTTGTCATGTTAGCCAGTCTGATAGGTGTGATGTAATACCTCAGAGTCATTTTGATTTGCATTTCTCTAATCAATCATGATTTAGAGCATTATAAAACACTTTTTAAAAAATAGCCATGAGAGGCACATTGTATAAGTATTATTATCCCCATTTTGTAGAATGAATGAAAAGATACTTGTTGAGCTTGTTAATGTATAAAGCACTGGAAATATAAACAGAAAATTGAGACATGGGGGAGAGAATACTTATGGGAGGGTTTAGCCATAAAGAAGATGGCAAGGCCCAGTGGTCTTTAGGGGACGACTGCAGGCCAGATGGTAATGTATAGGCCTACACAGGATAATGGCCCAGACCAGAATTGGGGAACCTGCAGCCTTGAGGCCACATGTGGCCCTCTGGGCCCTCAAGTGCGGCCCTTTGACTGAATCCTAACTTCACACAACAAATCCCCGTAATAAAAGGATTTGTTCTATAAAACTTGGACTCAATCAAAAGGCCACACCCAAGGACCTAGAAGGCCACATATGGCCTCAAGGCCTCAGGTTCCCCACCCCTGGCCCAGACTGTTTAAGCCATACATCCAATGTCACAGAACTAAAAAGTATCTGAACCAGGATTTAAACCATGGTCTCCAGACTCCAAAGTGGTGGGATTTCCACTATCCTATGTTACTTTTCTGCACTTTTGGCATGTCCCACTGTGGGAGGGACTGTTCCAGGAAATCAGGGCCCTGAAGGCTTTGGAGTCCAGACACCTAGGTTTGAATCCTGCCTTCAATACTTAGTAGTTATGTGATTGTATTTTTTTTCTCTCTGAGCTGCCTTGTCTGCAAAATGGGAACAATAGGCCTTGTTCTGTCCACCTTACTGGTGGGAGGCAAAAGCTTTCCATACCTTTAAAGTGTCCTAGAAATGACCAGTGACTGTTACTGCTGAAGGGGAGAGTATATCCCACCATGGAGGGATGATCTGGGCTCCCCATGTCCCCTCGTTCTCCTCCACAACCCCACAAGTACACACACATGTAGATGTTTAAATACACTCACTTTTCTGTCACAAGCCACAAGTTGTATGCTAACAGAACTTAGTCTGAGGAGGGGCCTTCTCCCCGGGAGACCCAGGAATACCTGCCGCCCCCGTTCCCTTAAGTGGAGAAGAATAAGAAAAGGGCTGGACAGCAAAAGCAAGATCTTAAATGAGTAGGGGAGCAGGTAGGGAAAAGAGGAAGGAGGATTGGGGAATGGTCGTATGATATTTATTGTTATTATTCTCATTAATATAATTTATATAGTGTTTTAAGGTTTTCAGAGCTCTTTATATAATCTCCTTTGATCCCTACAACCCTGCGGGGTAAGTGCTATTGCTATCCCCATTTTACAGATGTGGAAATTGAGGCTGAAAGGTTAAGTGACTTTAAACTCTGAGTTAAGTCTCCGCGTAATTCCCTCTAATTCCCTTTGTAAATCTGTCTTACTATATAGCACCCTGCACAGCCAGGCAGGTGCTTGGTAAGTCTTGGTGAAAATGAGGAAGACTATGAGCCTTATAGCTAGAAGGGACCTTAGAGATCAGCTCCTACCAAACCTTCCGACATGAGGAAACTGAGGCTCAGACTTGCCTAAAGGCACATAGGCAGTAAAGAACAGAGTGTCCCTCGAACACCCAGTCTGAATGCAGAGTTACGGCCTCCCCTTCACATAGGCCTCCTGTGACGCGGGAGTCGTGCTCAAAGGAGATCATGTAAATAAATCAGTTTGTACACTCAAAGTGCTGTGTAAACATGAGAGATGTGGTGCTGGTGGTAATCTCTTCTCTTGGGGAGCTCATGTTTGGATGGAGGCTACAGAACACACACACACACACACACACACACACACACACAGTAGCTCCTTTTTCTTCAGAACTTAAGGGTTAACAAAGGCTTTTCCTACAACCCTATAAGGCAGTACAAGGATGATTATTCCCATTTTAGAGATGAGGAAACTGAGCCTCAGAGAGGGAGAGATTTGACCAAGGTCCTACAGTGAGTCAGTATCAAGGGGAGAGTTTGAATTCAGGTCTTTTGACTTCAAATAATGGTATGTTTTTCAGAATACCTTTCTTATACACACAGTCACGCACTCACACACTCAAACACACAAACGCTTTGCCTTGTGTAGCCTTGGGCAAGTCACGTAAACCCTCTGTGCCTCAGTTTCCACATCTGTAAAACGAGGGGGCCGGACAGGATGATCTGGTCTCGCCTAGCTCCAGATCCATGATCCTGCGAGTCTCACTTTTCCCTTCCTGTCTGTTTCCTCCCTAGCCCAGAGATCGAGGGTCCATATGCAAGTGAGGAGGAACAGGAGAGACTGTTGGGCCTTTATCAGTACCTGCACAGCCGCGCCCACAATGCCTCCCACCCCCTCAAAACCATCTACTACACAGGACCCAATGAGAACCTTCTGGCCTTGGTAAGGGGCAGAGGGCAGGATGGCCCTTCCCTCCCACTGCCTGGGATCCATTCGGTGTGGGTCATCAGTCCTGAGAGACTGGGGCACCAGGGTGAAAGCCCTGCCCGCTGGGCTGTGTGTAGAGGGGAGATTGGGTGCAGAGGGGGGATGGTGATGTTTGCCCTTGGGGGTACTGGCTTCCTCATGAAGCTGACTCTATTCCCTTTCCCCAGTGATTCAGAAACAGCTTCCCTCTCTCCCCTATGGTGGTCTGTGACCCATCCTTCCCTCTCTTAGGTGACAGGAGCCTTTGAGCTGTATATGTGCTACAGTCCCTTGGGTACCAAGGCGTCCGCCATCAGTGCTGTTCACAAGCTGATGCGGTGGATCCGGAAGGAGGAGGACCGGCTATTCATTCTCACTCCTCTGACGTACTGATGGACGCTGGGCACGGCTGGGCACGGCTGGGACCCCCACCTCCCACAGAGGGGCCAGACGGGTGGGGAGTGCAGAGGGAGGCTGGGAGGGCTTGGGGGGGGCCATCCCTGGATTTTGTGTTTGCATTAAAGAGTGGATGTCTGAAGCCATCGTTGTCTGCTCCCAGTGTCCACAGGGGTCTCACAGGATCTTGCCATGGGTTTGATCTGCCTTAAGAATGCTGCCTGTACCAGCTCCCCATCGGGGAGCCCACCGTGTCTTCCCCTCACTGTACACTTCTGTGTTCCATACCCCCTGTGTACACGCGTACCCACACACAGGTGCCCGGCACCCATCCTGCAAGCACACCCACACACTAATCCCTGAACTGCATTGTGTCCTCATGTATACATGAACACCTGCTGAGAGCCCTCAGGCCCACACTGCTCATACCTGCTCATGCCGGCCCTTGCCTACCACCACCAATGGCATATACCCGTGCTACCTACGATAAATAGCTATTCTCTTATTAAACACCCACAGTGTACAAGGGAGATACAGTGGTATACGTGTAGATACACACCCCTTTACAACCTACACCACTGTCTACAAACTAGCTAGCCGGGCAAATCCTGTCCCAGCCCGCTGTTGTAAGGCCCCTGAGCTAAGACTGATACTGACGTTTTAAAAAATATTTATATTATTTTACAATAAAGTTTTATTGTATTAAAAATGTAAAAAGCATCCTTAGCTGGCAGGCACACCCTGGTCTCCACTGTACATCTATATGCACGTGTGCATGATGACAATGATAACTTTACTTTCTCTCCCATCAACAGCCCAAAGAGGTCAGTGATGCATAGGCCCATTTTATAACAAAGGAACCTGAAGGTCAGACGTGCCAAGAGCCTGGGGTCACCCAGCTAATAAAGGTGAGAGCCAATGCTCAAACCCAGGACTTCTTCCCCAACACCACATCATATTAATAGTTTTAGGCTGCACTAAGACTTTTAGGACACATATATATTATATATATGTATTGTATACACATACACATACACATATATATGTGTATATACACATTTATGTGTGTATACCGAATGTTCTAAGTCAGTGCAGTTTTAAGCTGTGTATGCATACATACACATATATGTATACACACACATACTGAATGTCTATAAACAGTACCTGAAAACACCTACTCATGCATACAAACAAACTGCAACATAAACGGTTTTTCCATCAGTTTCCCTTGGGAATCCATCCCTTTCTCCATGGAGAAGGGAGCTCTGTATTCCCTCACTGTTCCTGAGTCTGGGATAGGCGCAGACCTAGCTCACCATCCTGGGCCCTGAGGGATTGGGAGCCTTTTAAATGATTTGTTGTTGAAGGCTTGAGAGAAATCTGTATTTTTAAACATTTAGAATTTTAAGTTTCATCACCCAGGACTGACACCTCCCCACCTCCCACCTCATGCTTACACATAAGTAAGCCACACACTTGGGTCACAAGCATGGCCACAGCAGCCTCTGCTCTCGGCCTTGCTGGCACACTGCACCATCATTCTCCCTTAGTTTCCAGACAACCAGGCCTGGCTGGACCCCTCCCTCCAAATAAGACTGAGCTGTTACAAGAAGGGAAGGGAGGGAAGAAGTATTTATATAGCACCTACTATGTGCCAGGCACTGTGCTAAGCACTTTATGAATCTCTCATTTGAGCTTCACAACAACTCTTAAAGGTAGGTGCTGTTATTATCACCATTTTATAGTTCAGGAAACTGAAGCAGACTGAGGTTAAGTGACTTTGCCAGGGCCACACAACTAGTAAATGTCTGAGGACACATTTGAACTCGGGTCTTCCTGACTCCGGGCCTTGCCAGCGAGCGCTCTCTCCACTGTACCACCTGGTGGCCTCTCCCTCCGGCAGGGCTGTCACTTTCTTAGACCTGGGTGGACACTGTGCCTCTCAAAAGGCAGCCTAAGATTGCACTAGGTTTTTTCACTGTTATTTGAGATGAACTTCTATCAGTCAAGCAGCAAGCATTTATTGAGTCCCTAGGATCATAAGATCATAGGTTTAAATCTAGAGGGCCCTTCAGAGCCCCCTCATGCCATTTTACATATGAGCAAGTGCAGGCCCACTATGTGTCACCCCCCCAAGATAGGCACATTATTACGTGGAGAGGAAATCTACCTCTCTAGGATCTCCTTTCATCGCTCCTAGCTCTATTCTCTTTGACCAGCAGGGTTGCAGTCTTTTCGACGGTCTGTAGGACCACCCTTAAAATACTTGAAGACAGCTATTGTGTGTTTTTAAGGCTTCTCCACTTTCTTCAAATGGTCATTATCAGTGATCTTGAGGTCCTTCCATGTCCTGATGGCCCTTCTCTGCATAGGTTCTAATGAGTCAATATCCTTCCTAAAATGTGGTGTCTGGGACTGAACGCGGTGCCACAGACATGGTCCAATCAGGGCAGAGAGCCCTGGGACTATCACACCTCCCTCGTTTTGCACCGGATGCCTCTCTCATAAAGAGACCTAAGAGCGCATCGACTGTCTTCTGCTGCTACGCAGCGTTGTTGTGCTTGGAGTCCATTAAAACCCCCAGCTCTTTTTCATGAACCAGCCTAGCTTCCTCTTGCTACATACCTTAGCCTGGCCAGATGATTTCCCTACTAACCAAACAAAGGAAGAAGAATTGAAGACCCCCGTGGCCTAATGAGGTGGGAAATCGGCCTAAGGCAGTGGTTCTCAACCTCTTTGATCTTAGGACCCCTTATTGGAGTTATTCAGTCATGTCCAACTCTTCATGACCCCATTTGGGGTTTTCTTGACAAAGATACTGGAGGGGGCAGTTAGGTGGCGCAGTGGATGGAGCCCTGGCCCTGGATTCAGGAGCACCTGAGTTCAAATCCAGCCTCAGACACATAACACTTACTAGCTGTGTGACCCTGGGCAAGTCACTTAACCCCATTGCCTAGCCCCCCCCAAAAAAAACAAAAACAAAAGCAAAGATACTGGAGTGGTTTGCCAGTTCCTTCTCTAGCTCATTTTACAGATGAGGAAACTGAGGTGACTTGCCCAGGGTCACACAGCTAGTAAATATCTGAGGCCATATTTGAATTCAGAAAGACAAGTCTTCCTGATTCCAAACCCAGTGCTCTATCCATTTTGCCACCTAGCTGTCTCTTAAGGGTTTCTTACTCTCTTAAAATTTGTTGAGGACTCCCCAAAGTGCTTTTCTTTATACGGGTTGTATCTATCAGGGCAGCTAGGTGGTGCAGTGGATAGAGCGCCGGGTCTAGAGTCAAATAGACCTGAGTTTAAATCTGACGTCAGATACTTATTAGCTGAATGACCCTGGGCGAGTCACTGAACCCTGTTTGCCTCAGTTTTGTCATCTGTAAAATGAGCTGGAGAAGGGTATCTTTGCCCAGAAAACCCCAAATAGGATCATGAAGAGTCAGACATGACTGAAAACGACCAAACAACAAAATATATCTCAAATAAATATTGAGAAATTAAAATGTCTTAGTTGCATTACAAAAATAGTTTTGACTTGGCAGACTCCTCAAAATGACCATTCTCTGAGAACCTATTGGTCTAAGAAGTTGGGATAGGGGGAAGGGCCTTCTGGACACAGGCTGGTGATTAGAGACCCAACCCTAGAAATTTATTTCCCACCAACTTTACCACACTGCCTGAGGTTAAGCCATTAGTGAATCATTCCTTTGTGTTGATGAAAAGGGGACAGGGCATTTTAACAAGAATTTTAATGGAAGGGTGGCCTGGATTGGGCATTCAGAGCAAAAAAGGGAAGGCTGAAACAGGTTCTCCTGTTTGCAATGGCCAAGAATAGCCACAAGAGGGAAGCAGAGGCCAGACTGCTCCACAGGGTCTCTGGATGGGCGGGGAACCAAGGAGCTGCAGAATATTCATTCATCAGAATTGGGAAGGCCCTCAGAGGCCACCTAGCCCAACCTGTACCCGAACAAGCAACCCTCTAGACCCTACCTGACCGGTTTTCTTCACAACACTAACCTCTGTCCTGGTTATTGAGCCCTCATCCTGAGCTGGGCGTGCTCTTATGCTCCATCTGTCAAATGGGAGTGGCCTCCCTGGCCTTCTCCACACAGCTATCAAACTGATATTCCTCAAGCACAAATCTGTCATACTCCTGCTCAAGAAACCTCACTGGCTCCCTGTTGCCTCTAAGATAAAACTCAAAGTCATGTATTGACAAAGTGCCGGCCTCCCTTAATTACAACCAGCCATTTTATTTGCATGCATCTGTACAGGCTGGAATACATCACTCCTTATCCTCTTCACCTCCTAGCTTCCTTCAAAACCCAGCTCAACTGCCACTTTCCAACCGGGCCTTTCCTGAATCCCCCAACTTGCTAATGCCCTCTCTCCATCCCCTCCACAAATTACTATGCATTTGTTTTTTTAGATATTTGTATATTTAGATATATATTTAGAATTTTGACATATTTATGTATGGGTTGTTTCTTCCCAAAAGAATGGTAAGATCCTTGAAGGCAAGGGCTGTTTTGATTTGTCTTTGTGTTACAATGCCTAGCACTTAGTAGGTGCTTAAAAATGTTGAATGAATGAATCAAGCCTTTCTTTGAAGGCCTCAAATGATGGGAACTCATGACTTCTAGGGGGAAGAAGCTAACTTTTAGCTAACTTTAGCTGTTTGGAAGTTTTCCCTCATACTAGACCCAAATCTGCCTCTGCAGCTTCTATCCACTGATCTAAGTGGTGACTCCTGGTGCCAAGCAGAAGACTAATCCCTCTTCTATGAAACAGCCCTTCCAATGTTTAGAATCATAGGTTCAGAGCTGGAAAGACTATTAAAGGTCATCCATACCAACTCACTCATATTACAGATGGGGAAACCAAGGCCTTGAAAGGTTAAGTGATCTTTCCTAGGTCCCACAGGGTGAGAGTGGCAGAACCAGGATTAGAACTCAGGTTCCCAGATTCTATATCCTGTGCTTTTTCTACTTCACCAGGAAGCCCTGATTTGAAGATAGCTAATCGACCCCCTTCTGAATCCAAGGCAAAAAATTCCCTAGTTGTTTCAGAGCATCCTCCTATGACATGGACTCACAGCCCTTTGCTA